TTCTATTGGTGGGGTATTTACTTTATTACTATTTTCCTTGTATTAATGATAGAGTAAATATCCACATACATATCTTAAATACATTGTTACATTTTATACTTATGGAATAGCTTCCCAGGAGCAGTTACTGGATTCAAAGGCAAATTACGTCTTTAATTTAAGAGTAGATAATTCAGCCAGGTGTGGTGGCACACTCCTGTAATCTAAGCTACTTGGGAAGCAGAGATGAGGAGGACTGCAGTTCAAGGCCAGCCAAGGAAAAAAGTTTGCAAGACCTCATCTCAATAAGCAAGCTAGGAATGGTGGTGCATACCTGATATCCCAACTATACAGAGGGCATAAGTAGGAGGATTACCATCTAAGGCTATCCCTGAGTAAAAAGTAGAGACCCTATCTGAAAAAATGCCTAAAGCAAAAAAGGGCTGGGACCATGGTGCACAATGGTAGAGCACATGCCTAGCAAGCAGGAGGCTCCAAGTTCAAACCTCAGTATTGCCCTCCCCCAAAAAAAGATAATGCCAAGTAGCTTTCTTAAAAATTTAAACCAGTTTATTTTTATAGGCAATTCATTAGAGCTCTTTCTCTGTGTCCCCTGCTGAAGTTGTGTTTATTACTTTCTTTTTTTTTTTTCTTGGCAGTTCTGGGGTTTAAACTCAGGGCCCTGTGCTTGCTAGGAGATGCTCTACTTCTTGAGCTGCACCTCTGACTGTTTTTGCTCTTGTCATTTTTCAAATAAGGTCTTGCTTTTATGTTCAGGCCAGCCTGGACAGCAATCCTCCTATTTATGCTTCCAGCAAAGCTGGGGTAAGAGGCACACTTACCCAGCTTATTGTTGGTTGAGATGGGGCCTACTGGACATTTTACCTAGGCTGGCCTTAAACCACAGTCCTCTCCGTCTCTGCCTCCTGAGCAGCTAGGATTACAGGCGTGAGCGATTTTTAGTTTTTGGATGAACTTCCTTACTGATTTCCGTAGTGGCTGCACTATGTTGGTGGAATTTACAGTTCCACCAACAGTGTATAAGTTTCTTTTCCCCATATCCTCACCAGCATTCTGACTGGGGTGAGATGGACTCTCAGAGTAGTTTCGATTCTCATCTCCTTTATGACTAAGGATGTTGAACAATTCTTCAGGTATTTATTGGCCATTTCTACTTTTTTCAGATTTGTCTGTTATCCTAGTTATTTGCCCATTTAAGTGGATTATTTGTTGTTTTGGTGTTTAATATTTTTGAACTCTATATTATATATTCTGGATATTAATCCATGCATTTGTGTTTTGGTTGAGACCTGTCACATGAGCTCAGGTGTGAAATTTTCCATTTGAGGTGTTGTGTCAGTGTTCAAAAGTTTCAGATTTTGGAGCTTTTTGGATTTCGTATTTTTGGATTAGGGATGTTCAACCTGTACTTTGTGTTTTCATGGCTTACTTAGAGTCCTCTAACACAAGCTTCTATTTGTAGACTCCTAGGTTTTCTTGCAAGATTTTAATCATTTAGTATATGTTTATATTTAAGTCTATCTGAAATTTGTCCAACTTGATTTTCTTCCAGATAAATAGCTAATAGTGTTAGTACCATCTCTTATGTAAGCTGCCATTTTCTGTATGTATATTAATGATGGAAAGGGTAAAGTATCCCTTACACATGTAGGTATACTTTTCTGGATTCTTTATTGAAGTATCTAGGACTGTTCTGACTTTATGACACATTTTGTTATCTGATAGCATAAGTCTCCCATTTTTTTCAGTTTCATGCTTTTTTCACTTTTTATTAGCATATATTTATTGTACAAAGGAGTTTCATTATGATGTTTCCATATTCACTTTCATACTTTGCAATAATTCTCAGACACTTATTTTTTCCTTATCCACTCAAAATTATTTTATCAAATTAAAAATCACCCTAGGTAGATTTTTACTACTCTACTAAGTAGTAGAGTGCCTGCCTAGCAAGCACAAAGCCCTGAGTTCAAACCCCAGTACTGTCAAGAACAAAAACAAAACCACCCTCGTTAGAATTACACTAATTTAAATATTGAATGGATTGACATTATATGGTATGTATTACTATTTATTCACATCTTATTATCAAATTTGTTTTAATTTTTTAATTAGATAGTTTTTATTTTCTATAAGATTTCATAATTTTCTTCATCTGGATTCTATGCCTTTTAAAGATAATTTTATTCTTGTGTGTGTGTGTGTGTGTGTGTGTGTGTGTGTGTGTGTGTGTGTTTGACAGGGTCTCATTACACAGTTCAGGCTGGCCTTGAACTTGAGATCTTCAAGTTCAGCCTTCCAAGTGCCGGGATTAAGGCACATGCCACCATACCTAGTTCATAATAATTTTGTTCTAGCCAAACAGTTAGACAAGTGACATAGAAATAGGAAAAGGCACATTAGAATGTAAAGAAACAGGGCTGGTAAAATGGCTCAGGTGGTAGTGCGCCTGCCTGCCTAGCAAGCCTGAGGCCTGAGTTCAAACCCCACTACTGCCAAAAAAAAAAGAAGAAGAAGAATGTAATACAAGAAACAAATATAAGGATATAAGGGCAGGAATGTTTGTCACTATAAATTATGGGTGGTATTACCATTATTCAAATTAATCTTGTTTTAGGCTAGTTAATTAAGTGAGAATTAACCAGGTAGTAGTTTTGATAAATGCTTTGCATTGGTTGAATACTATAAAGGTAAAAGTGAATACTCAGTGGATATATTTGCTTTATGAAACCCAACTTAACATGAAAGGTTTATCAGAGTATGACATTTGCTATACCTAGGAAATTGTCAGTTGTGCAGTACCAATTAGGATGATTGGCTTTACATGGAAAACATCTATGGTATTTTGAAAATACTTCATTTAAAACAATTTAGTTTATGCATATCTCTTCAATTCTCTCTATTGATTAAAATAAGATATACTATATACTATGCTGTATTAAAAAGGTGGCTATTAATCAGAATAAAACCCAGAATTTCCTTAGAAATGTTTTAGGAAGAACATGAAATAAAAAGCAGTAACTACAAGTTGGAAGGTACAGATTTTAATTCTTCCAAACCTCTAACTAGCTTTCTGATTTTTAGACATTTGACTTCACTGAACTTTCATTTTATCAGTAAAAGACAGTTATATACTATCTGACCTGCCTGCCTTACAAAATAAGTGTGAAGTTCAAATTAAATGAGGTAAAGTGCTTGGAATATAGGGTGCAATGTAGATATACAGTGATACAGTTATTAAGTACATAGATACCTCTGCTCTTTCTGTTTTCCTTTGTTTGTTTATCTGTTTTTGCTAGTGCTGGGGATTGAAACCAGGGCTGGCACATACTGGGCAAGTGCTCCACCCTGGACTTACAGGGAGGTTTTTGTTTGTTTTCTCTCTTATTAGCATATATTAATTGTACAAAGGGAGTTTTTGTTGTCTCCCTGCCCCCCATGCTGGGACCATACTCAGGATCATGGACTTGCCAAGCTAGCACACTTCCACTGAGCTAATTCCCTAAGCCTTACAAAGGTGTTTCGTTGTGATATTTCCACACCTGCATATAATGTACTGTATCACCCCCTATTACTTTCTTATCCATCCTCCCCCCTTTAAAAACAATCTTAACAGGTTTCATTATTTGCTTTTCATACATGCATATGAAGTACTTCAATCATATTCAATCCCCCCCCACCACACACACACACACACACACACACACACACACACACACCCTGTCCTTTCACCCTCTTGCCTCTCACTGGTTTCTACCCCCAAACAGTCCCCTCCCGGCTTTATACTCAGGTCATTCTTTTTTTTTTTTAGGTCTGAATTCTGCATATGAGAGAAAACATTCAATGTTTATCTTTCTCAGTCTGGCTTATTTCACTTGATATGATGATTTACAATTCTGTTTTCCTTCAGATGACATAATTTCATCCTTTATAGCTGAATAATACTCCACTGTATATATACATATATACACATATTTATTTATATACACATGCATATATAGATATAGATATATACATATATATGCATGTGTATATATATATAGATATCACATTTTCTTTATCCATTCATCAGTTAGTAGATGGACACCTAGGCTGATTGCATTGTTTTGCTGTTATGAATAGTGCTTGAGCTACAGTGTTTTGAGACAGTCTTTCCATGAAACTGAGGCTGGCCTTAAACTTGCTGTGTAGCCCAAGCTGGCCTCAAAGGAAATCCTCCTCCCTCCACCTCAGTGCTGGTAGTACAAGCATACCTCACTGGGCCTGGCTTGTATCTCTGCTCTAACTGTCTTCTTTCAGTTGATTTGATTGAGATGACATTTAGATGAGAAACAGAGGAGCTTGATCAGATGAAGAAAATGTCTATAGAACAGAGCTAATCAATACTAGCATTTTCTAACCAGGGAAGTGCCCTTTGCTTTAAAATTATGTCTTAGATAGAAAGTGTATCCTTGGCTGGGTGCCAGTAGTTCACACCTATAATCCTACCCACTTGGGAAACAAAGATCGGGAGGATCGTGGTTTTGGGCCAGGCTGTGAAAAAAGTAAGAATCCATCTAAAAAATACCCAACACAGAAAAGGGCTGGAGGTGTGGCTCAAGTGGTAGAGCACCTGCCTAGCAAGTGTGAGGCCCTGAGTTCCAACCCCAGGACCTCCAAAAAAAAGAAGAAAGTATATCCTGACTCATAGTGATGGAAAAGATAAGCAGGAGTATGCGGGTGTGGTGTGTGAGAAGGGAACTGGGGATAGACTATAGAGGCAACTTATGAATTGGAACCTTACTTACAATATTTCCTGGATTTGTATGAACATAGATAGTTTTTGTATTCTCTCTGAGCTTTGGTTTTAATTGTAATGAAGGTCTGGTATCAGGTGTTTTTTGGTTGAAGTACAATGCTATTTCTAGTTAGGCAGGTGAGAAATATTGGTAGTTTTAGTTAATTACTTTTTCTAAGATAGATTTAACCATTTAACTTTTTGCTTACATGTTTGACAATAGGTGGTTTGTGTGAAGATTTGTGTGCTAGTCATGGTCCAATGAGCTTGGGAGAGCTGGAGTTGCTGCCAAATGCAAACCCTGTTCTTCCCACAATACTTCTTACAACTCAAGAAAATGATGTTAATTTACCAGAAGCAGCTGAAGATTTTTCTCAGGTACTCAGCTAAGAGCATTTGTACTTAAAATGAGAAGTATAACAATATTGTCTTTGTGTAAAAACATAGTCTTTGGAGTCAGACAGCTTCAAGTCATGTTTCTTTTATTTATTAACTCAAGCCTAGATGATCCTAGCTTAGCCCTTATGGTGCCTTAGAACATATTACTTAACTTCCTCTAAGCCTAAATTTCTTCATCTTTATGTTAAAGATTAAAAAAGAGTGTATATACAATGTCTGACACCGAGCTAGTATTATCTTTTACACTTCTGTATCCATGAAATATCTACCTCAGTAATTTGTGCATAGTAGGTACTCAATAAATTTTATTGCATTAAATTTTGTAAAATTTGTTACATGAAAGCATAAGAAGTTTCATAATGGGTAAAAAAAATTATGCACTGAAAAATAGAATAATCATTCTCTAAGTTTTGCTCTTAAAAATGCTCATGTTATTAAATATAATTTTATGTTCATGTATTGGCAATTCATTTCTCATTGTGAATTAATTCAGTCAATAAGTATTTATTGCATGGTATTGTGTAGTTTTGCATGATGTTGAAGAAGTATAATAAAATTTATATAATACAAAGGTTGTTTATGGACCATACCATTATGTACTACTAACCTGTGACCAAGCAAAGATTAGGAAAAACTAATTAACAGTGAACAAATATCTGGTAATAGCTACTATATAAAAATTTTGTGACCATAAGTTAGGCAAGAATTTCGTGGATATGATACTAAAGGCACTATCTGTGAAAAAGATAACTTAAAAAATTAGTCCTACCATAAGTAAAACCTTTCCTCAAAACACAGTATTAAGAAAATGTAAAGACAAACAACAGACTGAGAGTATTTGCAAATCACTTACCTGCTTAAAAAAAAAAAAGACATATCCACAGTATATAAGAAACTCACAGAACTGAATATGAAGAAAACAGTCTAATTTAAAAGTGGACAAAAGATTTGGACATTTACTTCATTCAGAGAAGATATATGAAGGGCAAATAAGCACATAAAAAGACCCTCAACATTGTTAATCATTAGAAAATGCAATTAAGTCCAATGTGCTACTCTACCACTCTACACACGTTAGAGCTCTAAGGTTCAGAACACTACCATGCTGGCAAGGATGTGGAACAACTGCATTCTCATACATTGTTGGCTGGGAGTCTTAAAATGATCCAGCTGCTTTGGAAAACAGCATCTTTAAAGCAAGGTACACACTCAGCACAAGACCCATGCAGTGTACTGCTACTTTCCCAGAAAATCTGAAACATGTCTACTCAAAGTCTTGTACATAAATGTTCATAACTTTATGTTTGTAGTAGCCAAAGACTGGAAGCAACACAAATGTCCATCAAATGGTGAGAGGAGATATTGTATTTATTACTACTCAGCAATAAAAATACATGAACCCTTACTATATACAATAACTTGTTTGGTTTTTATAAAAATTATATTGAGTAAAAGAAGCTAGAGCTGGAGGTGGTAGTGCATGCCTATAATTCCAGTTATGTGACATGTTATGTAGAAATTGGGAGGTTCACAATTTGAGGCCAGCTTAGGCAAAAAACATGAGACCCTAACTGAAAAATAATAAAAAGCAAAAGAGGACTGAGGGCATGGCTCAAGTGGTAGAGCACCAGCAAGTGCAAGGCCCTCAGTTCAAACCCCTGGTACCACCAAAAAAAAAAAAAAAAAGGCTAGAACCCCCTCCCAAAAACACATAGTCATGATTCTACTTAAATAAAATTCTAGAAAATGCAAATGTATGGTAACAGAAAACATTTTGGCTGTTGGGATGGTATGGGATGAAGGTGGGAAGAGCAAGAAGGAGTGTGCACAAAGCAGCGTGAGAAGCCCTGAACTGATGGATGTGCTCATTGCATCATCTTCAGGCGGCATGCTTTCGGGTCTGTGTACATGTGTGAGTCTTAGCTGACTGTGTATCTTAAATATATGCAGCTCATTGTCTACCACTTATACTTTGATAAAGCTATTTTAAGGAATAGAGTTACATACCTTTAATTGGTAGCCTGTTTTAAACAAGTACTTATTTATCTAGCAGTACTGGGGCTTGAACTCAGGGCCTTGCACTTGATAGGCAGGTACTCTACCACTTCAGCCACACACCCAGCTGTTGGCCTGTTTTAAAACAAAACCATTAAATGTTACCAGAAGAGTGATCCTCAAAAGATTCCTTTGTTATACTTCTCTAGTTAAGATTTCTTTATTTATTTCTTTAGTATGGGAAGTAATAACAATGCACTTATTTATAGAGCTTGATTTGCCAAATGCTCAACTAAGTTCTTTACATATTTTAGCTAAATATCCCAACCTAATGATGTAGTTGTTACTGTTATCATTTTGTGAATGAGGAAATGGAAGGATTGAAGAGTTATGCAACTTCCTCGAAGTCAAACCTAGAAAACAGCTTAATGAAATTTGAACACAGGCCGTTTGGCTCTGTGGTACATAGCTTTATTCACCGTGGTAAAGGAAGGGAACCCAGAAGGAGGTGTCAGTCTCAGCAGTGGGAACCAGGAGGGTCGCACATGTTGAGTATACCATATGTGAAAAGCTTGGGTCTGAAAGAGTTTTGGACTTCACAATTTTCTACATTTGGGAGCATGTGCATATATACAATGAGATATCTTAGTAATGGAACCCAAGTCTAAACACAGACTTCATTTATGTTTCATATACACCTTATACACATAGCCTGAAGCTTATTTTATTTTGTAGGTGATTGTACTAGGGTTTGAACTCAGGGCCTTGTGCTTTGCTAGGCAGGTGCTCTACCACTTGAGCCACACCTCCAACCAAATGACAAAAAAGCAATTAAAAAGCAAAACATAGTATTAATTTTTTATATCTTAAATACCCGAATAATTTAACTGCTCAGAATCTTTTAACTTAAGAAGTAATGTGGTTTCATGTTTTAAATTCTTCAGTATCAACAAAAGCAAGTCCAGGATGTTAAGCAAGCTGAATACAAACAAGCTGTACAAAGTCATTTAATACATGTAAGAAATAAATGTGACATTTTACTTTCACAACAAGGTAAGACTTGTTTTCATAACAAGTAATAATTTATTTGCAATATTTATTAAATATCACTTAATTGATAATATTTATTAAGTATTTGGTTTTATTTATCACACAAAATTTAATACTTGTCCTAGTGAACAAATATGTAATGAGAATTCTTTATTTTTATATACATCTTGCTCTCTAGGGCATTTTGTTTGTTTTCTCTCATTTAGTTCATTTGAATGAAGAATCTTTTATTTGTTAGTTCTTTTTACCAGTAAACATTATTGCTAACTCATTTTAAACCTCTTAGCTGGTGTTTTTTCTTTGATATTACCTTTTGGTTCTCATACAATTGAATGTTGGGGGTCTCTTATCTGCATTTATATCATAGTTGTCTGTCTTTAATTATAATATGCTAATGGCAGGAATTGTGACTGAAACATGCTCTGTTAAAGTTAGTGTTGTGTATTGATGTTAACCAACAAATACAGTTTAGAAACAAATGACTTGCACATTTGTTAAATTTTCTGTGCTGTGGTGTTATCAAAACTGTGCAATTCCACAGCCAGCATGAAAGCATTTTGATGTGGTCCTCATGTTTCCACAAGGCTGTTGGCCTGGTGCTCTGTGCTTCATGCTTATTAACCATTTACATTTTAAATAACCTAAGGTCTCAAATTTGGCAGGAGAAATTAAGATCTCTTTTGTTTAAAAACTTGCCGCAATCCAGGAAGAGGTAGGTATTCAGAGTATTTTGAGTAGTGGAGTGTCTTTCTTTGCTTTTATAGCTGATTTTTATCTAATTTTCAAGTAACACTGGAGTGAATCCATATTACTGACTGTGTGATGCAGATATAGCTATGGACCCAAGTGGGGAGGCGCTCAAGGTAATCATTAGGATTACGCCATATGAAGTTTATGTTCTAACTCTTCCAGCTTTTTTCCTATTCCTATTACCAGTCTTTCAGTATTTTGCCCTCTTCTCCATTTTTTTATCCTAAGCATAGTACAATAGTGTTAAATTATATTTTAAAATCCTAAGAAAAGTTGCTTATGAAACTCTTCTCGTGGCGATTGAAAAAGTAACCCGGGCAAAATACAGATATGAGACATTAAATGTTCTTAAGATAATTTCGGGACTGACTGTATGTCCTTCTACTGACCACACTATTAATGCTCAACATAGTTCATTTAGTTTGGTTTTTTAAAAAATAATAATTTCTTAAAATTATAAATGAATTTTGTTTTCTTGGAAGATGCTGTGTCTCATAAAACAATTGTTTTTCTCAGGTCATAGGAAAATATCTCTGGTAAGATTTTAAGACTAGGCTGGCAAAATAGCTCAAGTGGTAAAAGCACCTACCTAGCAAGCACAAGGCCCTGAGTTCAAACTCCAGTGTCACCAAAACTAAATAAATAATTGGGGACTGGGACTGTAGCTCCGTGGGTAGAGCAACTGCCTAGTAAGTGTAAGGCCCTGAGTTCAAATCCCACTATCACCAAAAAGAAAAAAAAGTTAAGACTAAGTATCTCTTTTAGGAAAGTGACATTATTTTCAGTTTCACATAAATGTCTGACCACAGGATGGCAATAGTTATATTCTTGTGAACTACACCGATACTATTAAGTAATGTCCTGACATTTAATAAGTCCATAAAAATCATAACAAAAATAAAAGAAGCCAAAGTGTTCACTAGTGGGAGGAAGTTTTATTTAGAAAGCGTTTACAACAGTTGGGCTTATTATTATGTTTACTTTTTTTTACATTTAATTTTACATCTAATACAAAAGGTTAGGAGAGCAGACCTGTTTCAGCCTTGACTAAGACAAATAAAAACCTAGTGAGGTATAAATAGACCATTTTAGATAGATGCCAAGTGTTTCACCTTCTAATTGAGCCATATCTGCATAATGAATATTTTTGAGTTAATATGATTGCCTTGGCAAATACAGTCAGTTAGGACTTTTTCCTATAAATTTTGTGGGTTATATTTTTTTCTGATGAAATTCTGAGATATGGCCAAATGTTTCAGAGAATAGAAGAGTCAGAATGCCAAAATAATCCTCTAGGGCTCTCAGGACTTTGGGTGACTTTGAATGAATTCAGTCTTGTTTCTCATACACGAGGTTAGAGATAAGGAAATTCACTTTATCACAAGGGAATCAAAACCATGTCTTTTCTGGCAGATACAAGCCTCTAAGAATACTCCAAATTATGGCTGTCTCAGGGAGAAGTATGCATTTCACTTTGAAATGCATAGTAGCTTCATATGTATGTATACAGAAATCTTGCTGTGTACTAGCCATAACAGTTCTTTCAATGACCATCCATTAAAATTCAAGAAGACATGGCAAGATTCCAGCACTGTGCCCTGAGCAATCTCTAAAATCCTTGTTTTCTTCTTCTCCGTTAATTATTACTTCCAGATTTTGATGTAGAAGAGAGAAATTGAGTTGATTGTTCTGACAGGTGGTATCTTTGGAGTCTCAGAATAAGACCTTTTCCTTGAACATTGAACTCATTGGGTATATTTTCATCATCCAATACTATTATTCTGATTCTGTGCACTGATGGTGTGTCTTAACTGTTTTATAGTGACAGCAACTTCTTCAGAAACTGGCTTTCCTTTCTGTTAGTCCTCTTTTACTGTGCCAGTTAACTCGGGCCACATCTTTTGCTGTGCAGGTTAACATTCTTCAACACAAATGAGAGGCTAGTTTTAAATCCATTTGTTTGTGATAAGCCCAAGAACAACTAAGTCCTATGAAGTTATGTGCTAAAACACATCTTTAGATTTTCTCTTAAAATTTTAAGACCATCATAATAATTACAAAATCAAACATACTATACTACCATCAGTGTGGGGAAAATTAGATCATCTGTCCTGTGGTTGTCAAAAGTTGTTTGAAAATCACAACATTCTTCTGTTTTCTTGTTTGTAGATTATCTATATTGCTCAGAATATACATATATAATTACTAAAAGTAATTTGCCAGTATCAGTTTACATTTTTGTAGGAAATATACTTATAAAATCACAAATGTTTCTTTCTGGCATTACATCCTGAGTTTAATTCTTAGCTGTCTTAGCACTCTTTCTGCCTCACATACTGTGATTATGACGCTCTTTACTTATTTATGTATTTATTCATTTGGCTGTACTGGGGTTTGAACTCAGGGCCATGTGCTTGCTGGGCAAGTGCTCTGCCACTTGAGCTATGCTCCCAATCCTTTTTTGCTTTAGGTTATTTTTTAGATAGAGTTTCACAGTATTGCCCAAGGTCAGCCTCAGATCATGATCTTCTGACCTATGCCTCCAGAGTAGCTGGGATTACAGATATGTACCACCATACCTGACTTGTTTATTGAGATGGGGTCTCACTAATTTTTTGTCAAGACTGGCCTTGAAGTTTGATCCTCCTGATCTCCACCTCCGAAGTAGCTAGGATTATAGCCATGAGCCACCTTGCCTAGTTCTGATTATGACTTTAAATATAGGAGAATTCAGAATTCAAAGGTTATATATTGAGAAGCTATTTCTGAACACATGTGCAAATGAAATCATTTTTGATCTTTAACAAATTAGTAATTTTTTTGCCTTTGTATTTGAGATATAGCTAAATTACAATAGGTATCATAATTATACTTGATCTAGATAGCTTCAAAAGTTTTGGGGTTTTTTGGCAGTATTGGGGTTTGAACTCAGGGTCTCATTCTTGCTATGCAGGTGCTGTATCACTTGAACCACTCCGCCAGCCCTTCAAAAAGTTCTTTTAAGTTGGTTTTTTATAAATTATAAGGTATGATGTTGATTTCCAAACTATTTACATGTGGAAAGGCCTAAGGCTCAGTGGTAGAGCACATGCCTTGCATGTGCATGCACGAGGTTCTGGGTGCAATTCCTAGCTCCAAAAAGAAACAAAACGTGGATCTCTGACAGGGAGGGGATGGAGCACAGACTGAGTCTGCTAGAAACCCATCATTTTAAATGTGTAACAAGCACTGTCTGAATAAATGTGTCTTCCACAAATCTGTGCTATTATTGATTAGAAAATGGAAATTTACTTTGAAATGTGGCTGGATTGGGGAGTTTTACTTTTACCTAGGATGAGGAAGTGGAAAAGAATGTTGCTTCTGCCTGAACTATAATAAAATGTCAGTTACACACAAAGTCATAACAGTTCTTGAACTCATCAGAGAGCTTGGGATGCAGACCAACTCAGTAGTCTAACATCCAAAGAAGGACAGTTAGCTCCACAAAGAGGTGGGGCAAACACTGTTTCCCTTGTTCCAGAGTGCAGTCCACAAACAAACTGAGTAGTCGGGAGCCATCAGTCAGACAGATAAAGAAGGATTTGGCTAAGCTTTTTTAGTGGGCTGCTAAAGGCCAAATATATATGTACCCACTGGCTATCACAGACATAAGGGGATTCACAGCTACTTTTAGGTTCTTCTCAACAGATTTCTAGAGATAGATTGGGGAGGGCAAGAGATGGGAAAGAGTCTCCTTTACTGGTACAAACCACAAAGGGGAATGGCTGTCACTGCCAGAAATGCAGGTTACCTTCTTTTGACCTATCTCCCATAAGAACAAAAGCTTTAAAACCACAGTCGCATCCAGGATATATATGTAAACCCCCTGTGGCTAGGGGAAGGGTAAATAAAACAAAATTATCCACTGGGTTTTGTTTTTTTTTTTTGCAGCACTGGGGTTTGAACCCAGGGCCTCACTGTTGCTAGGCAGGTGCTCTTAACACTTGAGCCGCTTCACCAGCCCTAAAACCATCCACTTTTAGAGGAAGGAGTTAATCTTGAGCTCACTATCTTATATCAATACATTAGAAGTCTCCTATTTCCAGGGGAAGAGTAAGAAACTCTCCTACACAATATTTGCCAAGGGGCCAAGGCAGAATGTGTCTGTTACTGGGAGAAGTGAGGTCTCTGAGAAAGCCCACTGTGAGACCCAAGCATACTGGATCTGCCAGGGACTGATAAAGAAGCAGGAGAGTAGAGAGCTACTCCTTCCCTATTCCTGCCATGAGAACAACTGAGTAAGGAGTAGCAGTAGTCTCTCAAAGCTGCCATGGTGCAGGCAGGTGCACAGTGAAGGCCAAAAGCTGACAACAAACAGGAAAACTGAGGAAGATTCTCCAGCATCCTCAGCCCACCCCTAACAGCACAGTAATGCTAGAGGACTTTGATGTGCAGCAGGAACAAAACTTCATGACTCACTTGACTCAATCCTGCACAAGAATGGCCTGGCTAGCAAAGACGGATTCTCCTATCTAGGCACAAATATTACTTATCTTAGTCTCTGTTGCCTTATATGTAATGTCTGGCAGTTTATCAAAACTATGATAGAAAGCAAGAAAACAATCATAATCCACTCCTGCATGAAACCCTGAGTTCAAGTCCCAGTTCTACCCCGCCTTTTTATAAAAGATGGGGGTCTTGCAGTGTTGCTGAGACTAGCCCTGAACTCCTGTCAAGCCCCCTAATCTTAGCCTCTCAATCTGAGACTACAGGTGCATGCCCCAATGCCTGGTACAACCCACTCTTCTAGAGACAAAGCACCCAACAGAGCAAGAATCAGAGATAAAGCTGGTGTTGAAACTGTCACATGGAATTTTAAAGAACTGTGATTAGTAAGTTAAAGACCCCAGTAGAAAAAGGTGGCAAAACACATGAACAGATAAAAACTTGAGAAAAGAAAGGAACAGATAAGCTGGGTGCCAGTGTTTCACGCCTGTAATTCTAGCTATTTGGGAGGCTGAAATGAAGAGAATGGAGGATCACAGTTCAAGGCCAACCTGGGAAAATACTTGAAGAGACCCCATCTCCAAAATAACTAGAACAAAATAGAGTGGAGGCATGGCTCACACAGTAGAGCATCTGTTTTACAAGCGCGAAGCCCTGAGTTCAAACCCCACCCCCCACTAAAAAGGAAAAAAAGAAAGGGACAAATAGAAATATTTGGTAGGGAGGGAGACCATAAAGAAAAGAATGACATCATTAGGCTTATCAGTAAACTCAACATAGCCAAGGAATCAGTAAATTTGAAGATCGCCAGTAGAAGTTAAAACATAAAACAAACAAACAAAAAAACAATGTGAGCATTGAAGATCCTATCATATATGGTAACCTACAAGTAATTGGAATCCCAAGTAAATGGAAGAGAAAGCAAGTAGAACAGATGTGCGTAAGATAATTCAATAATTTTCTAGTAATAATGAAGACTGTCAAACCAAGAATTTCAGACAATTCCAAGCAAGATGAAAAGAAAAAAATATATACCACATCATATTCAAAGATGCAGAGCAGCTCTAATTCTGATATATTGCTGTTAGGAATGTAAAATGCGACAACTGTCTTAGAAAATAGTTTAGCAGTTTCTTAAAAAATTATATATAAATTTACCATATAGCTCAGCAGTACATGTCCTGGGTTACTTACCCAAGAGAAATGAAAATTTACATTCACAGAAAACCTGTCCTCAAAAAAAAAAAAAAGTTAGCAATTTCATTCATAATTGCCAAAAACTGGAATAAACCAAAATGCTCTTCAACAGAGATAAATAACCTGTGACACATCTACAGTGAAATACTACTTGGTAATTGAATGAATTAATTTTTTTTTGGCAGCACTAGGGTTTGAACTCTAGGCTTCAGACTTGCTAAGCAGGCACTCTACCACTTGAGCCACTCCACCAGCCCTTTTTTGTGATGGATATTTTTAAGATACGGTCTTGTGAACTGTTTGCCCAATCTGGCTTTGAGCCATGAGCCACTGGTGCCCAGCAGGAATAAACTTCTGTTATACACCCAACAGCATAGATGAAGCTCAGGTGCTTTAGACACCAAATTTAAAATCCTACATATTGTAAAGCCCTGTTTATAGAACATTTTGGAAAAAGCCAATCTACAGATCACTGGTTGCCTAGGAGGAGAATTTGACTACAAATGGCAACTCTCTGGAATGATAGAAATGTTCTGTATTTTGATTGGGGTAGTGGTTATATAATTCTATGGATTTCTCAAGGGTGACTCTTACTGGGCATAAACGATGCTCCAAAATTTGAGTAATACTACTGAGTTTATGACACTTTTCTCACTATGAATTTTCTTAACTTGTATTATTTGGAAAGGAATAAAAGTTTTGTTGTTAAAAAGTGTATAAATGTGGCTGGACATGGTGGTTATCCATGGAGGCTGTGGCAGGAAGAACTCAAGTTTGAGGCCAGCCTGAACTACATAGCAAGTTCAAGTTTAGCCTGGACTAAACTTGAGACCCTGTCTCAAAAAAAAAAAAGCCAGAAAGGTGTTTAAAAGTGACACTGAGTATACTACATATATTTGCTTCTACATCTTTTAATATTTTATAGGAAGAGATGATTGGACATTATAACGTATATTGGATTTAAGGTATTTGTTTAAAAATTCCATTCAAACTAAAAGTATGGACATTTGTACTTTGTAATTAACAGCTAAAATTTAAAAATGGTATTGTATATGCTAATGAATCCAGAGTGCTGGATAAAAATGCACGTGTTTTAAAATATATTTTTTAAAGATTTCAGAAAGGAAGGAACTGTCAGCTTGTAGTTTTCCTGGCACATTCACTGTCATGTGCAGTCAGTCAGCATCAACTGAACCCTCTCCATTTTCTCTGCTTCCTGTCCTCAGCGCCTTCCACATGGAGTTCCTACACTGCACTTTTACCTGCCTTCTCACTACACATTCTTTGACATTCAGCTCTATCTGAACCTTTCCAAACCTACAATTGAAAATCACATTCATTTTAGCCCCTCTGTTCCCCACCTCTTTTCTGCTCTGAACATAATCATAATCTCGACAAATTTCCATTTGTTGAGGACTTGGTAGGCATGCCTTGTTACTGTTTAATTTATTCTTCAAAGTACCATGTCATACAGGTGATTTTATTTCGTTTGGTAAGAGAGAGAGAGAAATAAGACTCGTGAAGGTTAACTAATTTTCTTAAAGCATACAGTTTAGAATATGAAGCTGTGGAGTTCAAGTTCATATCTATAAAACTCCACTTGTATGAAAACAAAACAATCCAACTTAAACACTGGGTAAAGATCACAAAGCTGATATTCTTCTTTGTTTTATGCCATATACTGAATATATTGACAAATATTTATTATGTGACTTAACACCTTGTTGTAAGAGCTGCCTCTATCATCTGTATTCACCAAACTGACCATTCAGAATTTCAGGGGAGTGATAGATGGAACAGTTTTTTTGATTTTTTTTTTAAGTCGGATCATCTTCTTTGTGTGTAAGAGCTCGTTTCCCAACACAGTGCTGTACAAGTACACAGCTGGTGATCAGTGAGTGTTCATTGAGTTGAATTTGATGATTACATCATTTACTGTTGACTCCAAACCACATTCATTGAGTTGAATTTGATGATTACATCATTTACTGTTGACTCCAAACCACATTTAATATGTATTAGTAATAAGATAGAAGGACAGCAGAAGGAAGGGAAGAGAGGAGATTAGAGAACTTAATGTAATTATTGACACTTTTGAATGTAGCAGTGATACAGATAGCCTGGAGGAGTAATCTAAAAGACTGCTAGAAGACTTCTGATTTTCTTTTGTGGTAGTAATATAAATCTTCATTCCCTGAGGTCATATTAGTTGAGGAGACAGTAGAGGCAGCTAAGATGATACCCAAGACTAGGGAAAGTTACGTCAGGTTGCATATTAGTCTTTTGAACTTGAGATGAGAGAGAAGACTCTCATCATTCACTCTTCTTTTAAAATTGAGATCTAATTCAATACTGTAAAATTCTCCCTTATAAAAGTATAAAAATCAGTGGTTTTATTATTTTTCATAAAGTTGCAGAAACATCACTACTCTCAAATTCCAGAACATTTTCTTTACTCTGAAGAGAAATGCCATATCCATTAGTAGTTATTCTCTATTCACTCCTCGCTGATTCTAGATGTTTCATATAAATAAAATTGCATAATATGTGGTCTTTTTGTTTGGCTTCTTTAACTTAACATAATGTTTACAAGGTCCATTCATGTTGTAGCAGATATTACCTTATTCCTTTTTAAAGGCTGGATAATATTCCATTGTACATTCTTTCTTAGGTCAACCCTCTTTTTCTTTGGGAGGGCCTGAGAGGGGCATCCCTGTTGGGTCAAGTACTATAGAAGGTGCTGAACATCTAGAGAGAATAAGACCAAAAAAAATCTGCTCCCAAGGGATAAAAGAAAGGAAGGAGATAGTTGAGAAGGATAATTTTTTAAAAACATTGCATCTCAAAATAATTTGTTAGAATATTACTAAATATGAAAAGATAAATCTTTATATAATCACACAATCAAATTGTCACTTTTTTCTTACAGTACTGAAATAATAAGTGCATGGCAGTGGTATATTAGGTCAACTTCCAGGTCGTATATATACATTTTTTACAGTTATGTGAGGATATTTGGGTAAAAGTGGGGGCATAATCCATATGAAAAAAGACACATTAATGGAGCTTTAAACATAAGTGACTATCTCAACTGTTTGTTCCTACATGAAAAGATTTACTTCTTTGATTTAAGAGATAGAAATATTTTATTTGTATACATAAATATATGTTTTATATACTTATTGATTTTAATTAATTTTATATGTATTATTAATATGCAGTGTATAAAATATCCAAGAGACAAATGTATGTAACTAAGTTCATTCATTCAGAATGAGCAAAATGCATGAAGGACTGACACAGAAAAATCTATTGAATAAGACTGAATATTATTCAAGGATTTCCACAACATTTTCACTTGTTGGTGCTAAAAGTATTTTCCTTTTCAATGTAGTATTTTAATTGTGGAAATTATTTAATTTTCTTTTTGTAGCATTAATTATACACTGAGAATGGAGAACCTGGATTTTTCCCAAGTCTGGCACTAAACACCTCTCACCAAAGTGAATACGGCAATTATTTTTGAAGACTCGCCAACATTCCACAACTCTTTGTTGTTCTTAGCCAGATTTCCTGACTTCTGACTTCAACATTTTTCTTATGATTTTCCAATAGAAATTGTTGACGTAAAATATAATTTTAGCTATGAGATCAATTTCTATTCAACAGCCACCACACATAGCATTGTAAAATAATAATCACAGAGGTAACTGTAGATTTGATATTTTGTTACTAGTGCAGTAACACTAGGAGCAGAGGAACCACCTCTGGTTCAATAGAACCCAAGATCCTAACTGTAATTAGTAGTAGATCCAATCTTCTAGTTTAGTAATATTTTTATTATACACTCCCAAAGAAAATTACCTAGTTATAAGTAAATGTATTATAAATGCTGTTCTTCTAATCAATATAATTATTTATTTAAATGTTTTAGTGATTTTAAAAGTTTTATATAAATAACATAGAAATTAAGTCAATTGTTTTAGCCAAGATGGCAGTAGATTATTCTCCTATCCCAGATCTACCCTTTTTGCTCATATACTAGAATGGAAACTTGATGATTTCAATTCAGAATTAGAACAAAGAAGTAATATAGGGGTATTATACTTACACAGTCAACCACTCCTAACCTTGTTAGATTCTAACATAGTGTTTCTCAAACTTTAACAGACATGAAAACTTCCTGAAGTACTTACTTAAAATGTAGATTCCTGACATTCTGGTTGCCTGAGATGGGGCCTGGAAATGTGAATGTTAAACTAATAACCCTGTGCCAGGTGCCCATGGCTCACGCCTGTAATCCTAGCCGCTCAGGAGGCAAAGATCAGAAGGATCACGGTTCAAAGCCAGCCCAGGAAAATAGTTTACAAGACCCTATCTCGAAAATACCTAACATATGCACACACACAAAAATGGGCTGGAGTGGCTCAAGTGGTAAGAGCACATGCTAGCAAGTGTAAGGCCCTGAGTTCAAACCCCAGTGCAGCCAAAAGAAAAAACATTACCCCTGTGATTCTAATGTGGAAGAGGAAGGACCATCCTTTGAGACACTGCTTGATGACTCCATTCATTTTGGTGACATTTGTTCCTCTGGAGTAGGAGTAGAGATACTGCAGCATTGGGCAGACTCTCTGGAGTCAGAATGCTGGGTTCAAGTCTAGCTCAGGTATTTGCTAGCTGGTGACCTTAGTCAAGATACTTCACCTCTCTGTGCTTTTCTTATCTCTAATATGGTATGCATTTTATTAGGTTAATACGATTTTTAAAGATATAATGTACACATGTACTAGGACCTGATGTATATTAAAAGCTATAAAAGTATTAGCTTATGACTGACTATTTCAAGGACATCTCTCTCCTTTCTTATTGTTTGTTTGTTTAGGTTTTTTGAGACAGGGTCTTGCTGTGTATCCCAAGCTGGCCTCAAACTCAATCTTTCTGCCTTCACCTCTGAAGTGCTGGGATTACAAGCCACCATGCTGGGCTCCTTGGTTTACTCATGTCGTAGACAATTATTCCTTTAACAGATAGGAATTGAAGGCTGGGGGAGGATGTGTGGCTCAAGTGGTAGAGTACCCGCCTAGCAAGTGCTGGGCCCTAATTTCAAACTCAAAAAAAAAAGTTCAATTTCAAAAAAAAAGTTTTTTGGCACTCCTAGAATTTGATTCAGACCCTTGCTAGGCAGATGCTTTGATGCTTGAGCTACACCCCAAGCCCTTTTTGCTTTAGTTATTTTTCCCATAGTATCTTACATTTTTGGTCTGGTCAGCCTTGGAAAATGATCCACCTACTTATGCCTCCTGTATAATTGGGACACTGTGCCTGACTTACTGGTTGAGATAGGGTCTTGCTAATTTTTTGCCTGGGCTGGCCTTGAATTGCAGTCCTCCCAATCTTCACCTCCTGTGTAGCTGGGATCATAGACATGCACCTCCATGCCTGTCTCTGGTTTCCCTGTCATTGATTACCCACCCAGAGCCAGAATGATCTTTTTAAAATATGTATCAGATCACATGATTCCCAACCCTCCAGTGATTTCTTTCTGCACCAGAATAAAATCTAAACTCATCGTGACTTAAAAGGTCCTTCATAATCTAATCCTTGTCCTCTTCTCTTTTCTTCTCTTCCCCCTTCCTCCATCCTCTTTCTATGCACCCTATAAAAGAAAAAATGGGCAATTTTTATAAGAAGTATGTAAATAATTGTCAATATACTTGACAATAGAAATGAAACAACTCCATTTTTCTATGAGTTAATCTAAAGTCTAAGAAATAGATTTACTAATAAATCCAAGGCAAGAGAATTAATTTCATGTGTTGAGAAAAAAATTTTAATATATTTAACAAAATTGATTGACTCATTGATGAGTGATGCATTTATTCCTGATTCTTCTTAGGAAAGAGGTAAATAAAATCTTTTCTTAGTTTTTCCTTTCTCACTTTTTACATGGGAATTTAGCTTATGATAATATAAGCACAAAACAGTTTCTTGGATTTGATGATTAAAATTAGTCAAAATGCTCAGTCAGCACTGTTGCACAAACTAATTTTGACTTTTAAAAAACGTATATGTTGGTGTCGGTATGTGTGCAGCAGAGGGCAGGGGGGAGATACTAAAGACTGCGTCAGCCTGCACACCAAACTTCTACATCACCTCTGCTTCCGTGGAGTGCTTTAGGTGGAGAAGAGGAAAGGTGTTTTGTTTTTGTTTGTTTTTACCAGTACTGGGACTTATCAATTCTTTCCTGTAAAAAAAAATGTGATTTTAAACTAGAATGCTAATTACTCTGTTAAAATGGTAAAACAAACTATGTATGTATGTGTACACACATACTTGGTATATGAAATACATTCCTACAAAAGTCTTTAAGTGAATTGTTATTGCCAAAAGGTATCTGAAAATCTAATTGTTAGTGCTTGTTCTACTTGTTACCTCAGAAAGTATGGGTACTTTTTCTTCCTGTGAATATAATTATAATAGTACTGTGCCATCTAGTGAAATCAGAAAAAATTATTAGGTAGAAATACAATTCTTCTGAAACCCTTATGAGTATTACCTTTATATCATTCTGCCTATATCAACACAAATCAGGACTTAGGAAATACTAAAAGTATTACGTTGGATATTTTCTAATTACTGGGTCAGCATAATAGATCATTTTCTAAATATACCAGTTTCCTGAAATAGCTCAGCCATTCAGTATTTTACAGGAAGCAGCACAAAATTAGTTTCTATGTCTCCCCATGTTTCCCTCAGTGTCACAAAAGTACATGTTGTGGAGATGAAGTATTCGTCTTTGCAAAAAGGCCACCACACCAAACTACAATTAATGAACATGAGAATTAGAAATCAAAACTTTGTTTAGTCTGAGAAAAAACAATTCTTTAAACTGCAGCCACATGGCTGTTTCTTGTTTGCATCAACTCTGGGTGACTGTTACTGTCTTCTGTGAATTCTCTGGGGCAGGGGCCTGACTTTGCTGAATGAGCCAATTGTTTTCCTTTGTGTTGCCCATCTAGTAAGTTCCCATCTGGTTTGTATCAGACTGTTTTCACAGCCAACAACTGCTGCCTTCTCTATATCCTGACACTTTGGGGCCCATGTATCAAAGCACTGCTGTGATGGCTTACTGGCAGGGCCTACGCAGCTATGCCTCACAGCTTGGAACTATTACCCAGAGTGATGGTAACACTGAGCTTGGACCGGCCCTTATTCCCATTGGTGTCAGGTATACAGTGAACAGAAACCTCCCCTCCCTCTACCTCTCCTAAAACTTACTATTCAACAGAAAATCTCAAAAGCTCTTATTTTAGGATGTGGAATGTTGTTGTCATTTTCTAGGGGTTTCCTGTATTTGAAAGCTCATTTTTCATTCTTTCACTCTTTTAAAAGTTACCAGGTCTGGCCTTGGGATATGAACTGGTCACTATGTCAGATTTAATTTTTTTTTTGTTTCTTTAATTTTTATTAAAGTTAGGTGGCTAGAAATGCCAAAACCGTTGTAAAGACTATGTGGGTGATGTAGTATATTGCTAGTGATAATTACAAATCATAAAGCCCAAGAGGTTTTCATATTTAGGAAAGATCTCCATCTCAGAAAATAGCTTTTCTATGTGTCAATTTTAAAGACACTTAGCTTCAACTTGCTTTTAGTAAATACTAAGGAGTTACTTGGCCTTCAGTCTTGGTAGCTATCAAATGTCATTTTCTTCATTTTATTTCTTTATATGTTGAGTCAGGGTCTCACTGTAGAACTCAGGCTGACCTCAAACTCATGATCCTCCTGCCCAGATCTCAAGTGTCATTTACAAAAACATTATAATATAACTTTCTCTGTACTCCATTGCCTGATATAATATCATCAAATTAGAATTATAGGAGTTATCATTAACAGTTATAGTTACATTCAAATGTAGTTATAGTAGTTACTTTATTAACCTTATATATAAACAAAAAGAGAAATCTGCTTTTATAGGACACAATAAGACTTCAGAAATGTTTTCAAGATTAGTTAAAATTGGATTACAGTTTGCTTTCAGTTTAATTGAGTGGTTGTCATGGAGTGTTAAGTAACCTACATAGTAAGCTGTGTGACAGACTAGAACAACATTAGCAAACACTCACCTTCTGCTTCTGAGTAAGTTCAGTCAAGGTTTTATATCAAGTTTTGAGGGAATTCTTATGGGTGATGTCTTAGCAGTAACTATTTGGCTATTTCATCGTTAGAAAATAGTTTAAAATCAGGTGGCTCAAACCTATAATCCCCGCTAGTTGGGAGGAACTAGGTTCAAGGCCAGCCCAGGCAAAAAGTTAGCAAGACCCATCTCTACAAACAAGCTGGGTATAATCCAGGCTATGCAGGAGGAATAGGTAGGAGGATTGTGCTCTGAGACCAGCCCTAAGCAAAAACCCAGAGACCCTATTAGAAAAATAACCTAAAGCAAAAAGAGCAGTAGACAGAGCTCAAGTGGAAGAGCCCTTGCCTACCATGCACGAGGCCCTTGGTTCAATTCC